ATAACATCAGCTCCCTGTGGGTCTACCACTTTATTTCACCTGTTAAACTTCCATTGATTAATATGTTTGACATTATCAAATTGAATGACTCCACATAAAATCCAATGGGCTGCCTGTGCCACTGGGAACCAACACTGCTGCTCTCTGCAGTCATCCTCAGTTTTAAGTTGTTCTCAGCTCATTGTTTTGGTTTGCTGGTCAGTATGATTAAGTCCCAAAGGCTCTTACTACCTCCATCTATCCACCCACTCACCCACTCCTTTAGAACTGTGGACAGCAGCACACAAGCTCACATAAACCAACTGCACTGAGGCTACTCTTCCCTGTATCAAGTAACAGAGCGAACAGCAAATAACTGAGTGGTGAGGAGTCAAGAGAGTGGCAGGCCAAAGAAACTGAAATATTTCCTTTAGATTTGAACAAACTAAAACACTAATACATATTCAATTTAAAAGGTAATGCGATTCCGGAAGATTTACATGATGCTCAGATGTGTTTTACTAGGCAACAATGTTTTTGCTGTAAAAACTTAACAAGTCAACACAGAATATTCTCAACTGAAGCCTACTTTATTTGTGTAGCTTTGCAAACACAACAGAGCTGCTGGAGGCTACAGGGAGAAAAATCAAACAAATGTCAGGCGAGGGTGAAGAAACATGGAATAAAAATAAATATCACATGTTTGTGACATAGGACGACCTGTTGTGTATCTGTAGTTACAAATTGTGGAAATCTACTCAATTCAAACTCTGTGTTAAATGTGCCACAAATTAAGCTGGGAAATAATTACATGCATTATTAATAATTAACAGCCACACAATGAGGTTGTGGTCTCAAAGTTGAGAATCAAAGTGAATACCTAACCACCTCCCTCCCCATTGATTAAAACTGGGCTGTGATCACTAACAGACCTGAGACCGAAAGCTGTGCCTCTCACACCACTGCACCACCTTTTCTGTCTCGGACTATTACACAACCGATGTCCTGTTGTGTCCTGGAATCATCAGAAAGTTGCTTGGTTTCTGCAGTCATTTGTTTTCAATGTGTAGTCCTGTGTATCATCCAAAGTTGATTTAACTTTCACTTGAATTTTGAACTGTCTTCCTATAAGAAATAAACTCCATCTGCCACAGTTTATTTAATAAGGTCTGAGGGAGTGTGGTATTAAATAAACAGCAACCTAGAATAAACTGCAGGGTTTTCAAGTTGCCATCATTCGTCATTGTGGTATAGAGGTGTTGTACAGTGCCTCACTTCATGGATTTATACCATGTATTAAATTATTTCACTGCTTTAGGTTTTAAATCGTTATTTTATAAGTGGCAAGGTCTTTTGGGGGAACAGTTATAATGACAGCTGTTTTCCACATTGAAGAAATGGTATATGTATGAGAGAGATGGGAAAGAGGGCTCCTTAAGTACAAATGTTTGTAAAAGAGTTCTCAGACCAGAGTGTGCACATGGCTCAAGTTCTATTATGTTCTGTGTTGGACCACACTTCACTGTGACTGACAGGCAGAAGTAGAAGTTTGTAATTCCCCCAGTTCATTCAGCATGTATATTTCCCTCTTGCTGGTCAGAATCAGAGTCAGAATTCCTTTATTGTCCCAAGATTGGGAAATAAACAACGTTGCAACAGCAAGATAATCAAACAAGCATGAAAAGTGAAGAATATTAAGTAAAGATAAGATAAAACAAGATAAATTACTTCATACAAATTGCACTTAGACTTCTGCATTGGCTGTTGATGAGGTTCTGTGTGTGTGAGTGAGTGAGAGAGAGAGAGGGAGTGTGTATGGTGGTCTACTAGGTGCAGTGCTTGTTTTACAGTCTGACAGCAGCAGGGAGGAAGGACCTCCTGAATCTCTCCTTCACACACTTGGGGTGAAGGAGTCTGTCACTGAAGGAGCTGCTCAGTGTTGTTAAGAAATCCTGCATGGGGTGGGAGACCGTCTCCATCATGGAGGACAGTTTGACCAACATCCTCCTGTCTCCCACCACCTCCACTGGTTCCAGAGAGCTCCCTGGGACAGAACTGGCCCTTCTGATCAGTTTATTCAGTTTCTTCCTGTCTGCAGCTGAAATGCTGCTGTTCCAGCAGACCAGTCCCTGGAAGATGACTGATGCCACCACTGTGTTGTAGAAGGTCATGAGGAGTGGCCCCTGTACTCCAAAAGACCTCAGCCTCCTGAGCAGGTAGAGCCTGCTCTGACCCTTCTTGTAGAGTGCGTGTGTGTTATGAGTCCAGTGAACACCCAGATATTTGATGTCACCATCTCAATGTCTGTTCCCTGGATGTTTACTGGTTTGTTAGGGGAGTGTGTGCCCTGACGTAAGTCCACCACCAGTTGGTGTTTAGATCAGTATTTTTTTTTTTTGTGCTACAATGGTTTTCCTTGTGTTATGCTGCTCTCTCCCATCCCTCTTTGATCAGGTGTCTTTGGTATTTGGGGTTTATATTAATGGGATTTCATGGTACTACAATGTCAAGGTACAGGGTTGTTTCCACACACTCACAGGGCAGACCTGAATGGTTGTCGGATTGTGGGTTATATGAAACTGTTATCTTGCTATTGCATTTGTTCTGTATTTTATTGCACCTAGGTCATCTGATTTTGGTCAAAGGGTTAGAAACCCTCTCTTCAGAGTGGAAAGTAACGCATCAATCATAAAGAGTCACAATTGAGGGATCTGGAAACATAAAGCAGAAGGACTGCGGGAAGTCGGTAGCATGTGATGCGAAAACGTGAAGAAGAGGGAGTGAAGGAAATAAAGGTTTCATGTCTCATGTGCCCCCCTCACAATCTAGACTTAAAGCATCATAAGTGAGAGCTGGTCCAAGACAAACCAGAACCAACTCTAACTATAAGCTTAATAAAAAGGAAGGCTATCCAGCAGCCTGTTGCCAAGGATCGAGTAATTGTTGGAGGAAATAGAAAAAAAAAAAACAGACATGGATGAATTATATGTCTGAGGGCTTTGTTGATAAGGGTACTGAAATTCTGGAGGAAGATAAATATCTTGTGTTTTTCAACACACATAATTGCAAAGTCATGCAATTGTGCAGAAAGAGATTTTCAAACGGTATAGTTTGAAATATTTGGTATATTCTGGTCTCACAAACATGTAGTTGCAGGTTGATATATACTCCTATATATGGCCTATATGTAAATGGAACCATGTCTATTCACGCAGGCAGGTGAGTAAATAAAGCACAGATGCAGCCGAGTGTTGTCATCACAATGATGCTTCATATGTCTGTTCCTCATGATACATTAATGCAGGCACACAATCTGATGGGGGTTTGTGGAGATACCTCCATTTGTCTGAAACTGTAAATGGGACTTTGTGTTACCATGGTAACCATGTTTGAATTGAGACACATCAGGCACCATCCCCCATTAGGGTATTTTAGTGACAATGCCTCACACCAACATCTTGAAGAGCGATAGAAAAAACATAAAAAAAATATATGTCATTAGTTACAGTAGTTAAGGAGAACTCATAGAATATTCTAAACCCGACTGATTTAATTAAAGAGATTGTGTAGATACAGTAGTTTCCGGGGACTGTATCTGTTTTACCCACTCTTCTTTAATCAGAAACTAATAAAAACTTTACTGTAGACATCTGCGGTTATCTCAAACAGCAATATTAGGGTACCTTTGCTCCATTATCACATTGAAATAGTTGCACAAAAACTAGGCAAGTGAACTAAACTTTTTCAAAGCTTTGTCTCAGGGAAGGCCAACACTCTCAGAATTTCAAAAACCACTAGAATAGGCAAGAAGGAAGGAACAGATCAAAATTTGGCAGTTGGGAATAATTGGCCTTCACCCAATCTCCACAATATTGAGAAACATCCAGCCGGTCATCCATCCAACCATCATCTATGCAGTTTATCCTCTTGAGGGCCTCGGGGGGGCGGAGTACAAGCTTAACAGGTGGACATTTTTATCAGAATAATTTTTTTCATATCAGTCAATTTCCAATTTAATTCAGATGGTAAAAAAGATAAGTGGTATTACCTGCATTTGTGGTCACATGCTTTTGACACACTTTGCAGTGCACACTACTCTGCTTCGTATCGGACACTTTTAGCCAAACTATCTATGTCCTCATCTTTTGAACTTTGGGCTGTGTCTGTTCTGTCGCCATTTTCTCTTTTATCTCTCTCCAACTCCTGATGAACTGGCGTGCACGGCTGCAGTAGCCCAAACATTAGCATGCATGCTGCTGCCGGCTGCTCCTCCTCCACTCTGTGCTGTGTGTGTCAACCTAACCTGACGTGGCTGTAACTCTAATACAGCCACATGATTGGTTTGGCGCAGCGCTATTCTCATTATCATTGGCTGTTCGTTTTGTCCGTCACAACATGGATGGAATGAGTTCTATTGATGTTGTATTAGAGTCTCTAATTAACCCAACCTGAATCTGCATGTCTTTGGACTGTAGGAGACCAGATGGATCCCTTCAGGTTATTTACATGTAGTTTCTCAAAACACCTTCTTTCATACACACACTTTCTATTTTGGGTGCAAGTGTGACAACATGCAGCTTATTGTAAATATCTGGATGTGGTTCTCAAAACTGACACAAAGTTCAATGTAAAATAATGGACACACCTTCATCGTCACCATTTTGGCTATGTAGCAGATGGGGGATTTTGTATTTTGAATAATTTTTAGATTAGGAACATGGCGACAGAAGAAGGACATGTTATTGACTCAGGATGTCTTAATTTCCACACACACATGAAACAGGGCACACACAAGAAAGTCTAGAGAGCAAAGAAAAATATCTGGCAACAACACAACAATCTTTGACAGTGATCTCACAATGTGTTTGATTTGGGACACTCTCAAACTAGTGTGTGCGTCATATTTCATAAGATGATCTAATGCAGATGTAATCCATAAAGAAACAGGTAAATACAGCTGTCAGATAACAGGAATTGATTAAAAATACTTTTTTTTACTCTGAAATGAGAGAAGGACCCAGATGGCTACTCCAGAACATGTTCAGCAAAAGGAACTTTACGAGACAACAGAATTTAAACAGACGGCTGGTCCAAGAGATGGAGCAGATTGGTTCATTGCTCAGGGCCAGGAGAAAGGTACAGGTGGGCAGGTGTCGAATGCAAATGCACACAGCAGAAGTGATGATCTGGCAGGGGACAATTGCTTGTGGGCAGTACGGAGTCAGCGTGAATGCAGATGAGATTTGACACCATGTGAGGATGAATAATGGTGTGTGTGGAGGGGAACTGAAGGCATGAAGGTCTGAAGGCATCTGTGGACAGGAAGTATATGGCTGAACTGGACTGTCTTCAAGACAGTAATGGAGTATTACTAATTTCTTAAGTAGAGTATGAGAACTTGAAAGTTGTTCCTATAATCGTTTGTGTAATAGTACAGAATATGTGCACATGAACGTAGGCCTTGTCTTCGTTACTCTGGATATTTTTTTTAAAGGTGGATATATTTCCGTCCGTTTCTTAAATAAACATCAGCAACACAACCTCCATTTTCCATCCAGACAAGAAGGAAAAGGCATACCGGCCCAGTAGATGGTCATAAAACTTATGGCAACGATTCGTCAAATACCACAGAAGAACATAGTGAGCATGCTCTGACAGGTTAATCTCCTTACCTTTGTGGTGAGAGTAATGCGGTGGGGCAGATGCCTGTAAGTGCCAGTAGTATTGTGCAGTGATGCAAACTTGTAATTAGAACGATGCTAACCAAACATTGATAAATCAGGATATAGCTGACTTTGTTGTTGCATGCTTATTACACAAAGCAACAGTGGGCATATGCAAAGTAATATGTGACATCATCGTTCCCCTAATGCTCCGTTTTACATGTACACATGGATATACACAAAACGGGTTTTGAAAATGTACACTTTAAAGGGTGTTTGTAAAAAAATCTATATTTTAGGGATTTTAAATGACTTAACGCAGAAGAAAACATTTGTTTGGCAAAATATCTGCATTATTGTGGACAGGACTTTACTACTACTACTACTACTAGTACTACTCTAGCAGACACTGTTTGAACTGTTCTTGAGTAGGTGAAGGTAAAGAAAGAGAGAAAAAGGATGTGGCTGTTGGTGCAAAAGATACATTCAACATCAGCAAACCCAGACCACCTTTACATTTTCCCTTATGGTTTGATGGCCTTGAGTGAAACGTAAAGGCAACAATAATAATGCTTTGTGGCCAGACTCACGCTGCTAGTTGGCATTCCTTCTATGCAGCAATTCACAATTTAGAATCACATTTGTGGCAAGATCTTTTCACGAAGCAGAATAGCCTGTCTCATGCAAAGCACCATTAATGGAAAACACTTCAAAAGACTCAGTTGACCATGAAAAACTTTGCATTAGTCACTAGGAAAGGGTCTTATTTTCTGAGAAGCTCGACATTTTAAAGGTCACAGGATATTTCATGTTGACACATACAATGTAAGCTTTCATAGTATGAGGAGAATACTCTTTTCTTTACATATTCAAATTGAATGAAATGCTGATACTTATAAAACCACACGAAGTGTTTGACTTGAATTTGGCAAGGGCTGACAAATATGTTCTGCATTTCCAAGTCTCTTCAAACGTCTTTGAGTATCATGTAAGACAATGAGATAGACCAAGTTTCAGAAAATGCCACTTATATGAATCGTTTTCAGATATGACCTGCAGAGGGACACAGTTTACCTTTCACATCAAGTTTTCATAGCAAGTTATGACCCAACCCTCCTGAAAGAAGTAATGACTGAAAAAAGAAACTAAAGAACAGACTTACTACTTCACTCATACTACATTATAAATGATAGAGAGAAGATAGTCAAACCCAGACGAAAATGAATTGTCCGTCACATTGACTGGGACTGTGTTCATATCTGGCTTTCACTGCTCTTCGGATGTGAGGGCATTAGCATAATCTGTCCAGTTGATTATGTTTGGGCAGCAGTGACATAAAACTCTGGCTCTGTGATTAGGCTCTATAGGGCTGACAGCCAAGGCTGCTGAAAAGCAATCAGCGGAGCAGATTAAAAGGTGCGGCAGCAAACAAAATAAGGAAGGTGCAGACTGCCATGACACTGAAAGCACCATGTTCCCCTCTGTTTCTGCGGATGGGTCAAAAGATGATGAGTGACAAGTTACTTAATAGAGGAGTCCATCACCTTCCTGTCCCAGTCTCCTGTCTGATAAGTTCTAAATTAGCTGGTGTACATGGGCCCAGCAGCGGAGAAGACGGTGACAGACATCTAATAATGAAAGACAGTGTGTGAATTTATGTAGTAAACGTCCTATGTTCACATGGGATGCAGAATGACCATCACCCACACCGTTGCGGTCATGTGCGCAAACATATCCAGTGAAGAATGAGGGTGAGGATAATCATTTGATCCGCATCCAGCCACATATGCGCAATGAAACTTTGGCCTCAGCTTTCATCACATTGTCTGGGAGAAACTATGAATATTCATGATCTGAGACACTGATGGCGCCGCGGACACCCCTGCGGATTGTGGGTATTAACGATGTGGTGGAGCCCATCTGTTCGTGCAGGTCTGCTGTAACATCAGCCACAGGTAATTCTCTAATAGCATCGGGAAGCATTTGAGGTCAGTTGGTACAGAACAGTTTGCACTTTTATTTGAGCTTAAACAGCTCCTCTTGACTGGTAGGTAATGACACCTACCATGTCATGACAGTCTGCTACCTTCATCATACCAGAGCATGAACACTCATTAAGGAGTGAACTTTAATATTTTTATATTAAGCATCAAACATCTTTATCAAATATGTCAAGCTGTGCAAAGATGAAGTCACTCAGTCAATCAGAGTGTTGGATCGACACAAGTGTCATGGAAATAACAATAAAGCATTTTATAGATTAATAACAAAGTGTACAAAACAATGCATTAATGAATTTCTTACAAATAAATCTAATAATTCTAATAGTTAAACTGTTAATAGAAAGAGGAATTATAAAAATGATTAACAAAAACACGATAAAAAAAATTCAACTTTAAATTATATAATTGTCGAACTGACCGTAAATTCAGTTTGAATGTAGGAACTGAATTAAGAATACAGATTTAAAATGAAACTGATAAGGAAATGCAGCAGGGGAATGGAGATGCTAAATGGGAGAGCACGTTCTTTTAAAAGGCCACATTAATTTGTAAATCTAGTTGTCTCTTTTCAAAACGAAAGTTGAGACAAATGTCTGAGTTCAATTATTTAATTTTCAAAGCAGCCATTATTCACTCCCCTCATTAAACCTGTTCTCTGAAGCACAGAAAATGTTCGTAACCTTCATCAGGAAACCGAAAAAGTCTGACATATGTTGGGTCTCTTATTTGCTTCTATTTAGGACAGCATAATGCCGTTTCTGTAAGGATGCTATTGTTTGTTGCTATGGTCAGCTTAAAATGACAAAACCAGTAGATGTTTGGTCTTTGCCTGTATCCTCCCCTTATAAATGTCATCAGGAAATTCAATTCTAAGCATTTCTTAGTGTAGAAGAGGCCTAGTAAAATTAAAATAAATCCCATATGCAATTAGATATTACACTGCTCAATAATATTCACAATTCACAAATGGATATAAATGCTAATGAATAGAATATTTTTTTCAACTTGTTTTGTACCATTTTTGTCCCCTGGTGTTAAAAAGGTAATTCAGCTTTAAACATAAAGAACCAATTGTTATCTTTTTTTGCAGCATGCATCTGGGTCAAAACACAGATTGATTAGGAGCCCCTGTTAGTCTGTGCCCCCCCCGCTCTTCCCTCCATGTGTTTTTCCAGATGTTCTCCTGATAATTCCAGGGTATATTAACGTCTCAAAAGAATAACGAGGGCGTTTCAACACTAATCTGTGCTCCAAACACTACCTCCCTCACACTTTCTTTCTATCGCCGAGCCTGAGACAGACATAAGACGTAAGCACTCTCCCCAGAGATAAATTGAGGCATGACATGTAATGCAGTACTAAGTACCTAGTAAATTGCTTCCACGCTATTTTACCACAATCACACAGCAAAGTATAAGGCTAAGGAACATAACTCTATTGTTCGTGCTATAAGACATAGAAAATAGCCTGTGAGGCTGTTCCTACATGTCCAGTATTTGCAGGGTTTTATATCACTGTCACTGTCAAGTGTTTTTCATGCCATGATTGAAAACCTTAGTTTCCCAGTAAGCAAAACTGTCGATGTCATGCGGACAGTCCGCTGTATGTCGGTGATTCAATTCCCATTTACACTATCATTGGATTTTCAGGTGACAGCAAATTGTTTACGCTGCTGTCCCACACTAAATCACTTAGTTTAAAATGCTGATGCAAAACAAAGCAACACATTTAAATATTGCTCAGCAGTCCATTAATGCTAATAGACTGTATGTTGTAGTGGTAAAACATGAGGTGCTATTTTCAGAGAGCACAGTGATGATGAAGAAATCTGCAGGAGTGGTGGCAAAATGTAGAGATGATGATCATCAACCATTTGTGTCATGCAGAGAGCAGCACCACCAGCATGGCTGAAGAAATCTATCCTACACAGTTTGTTCTTATCAGACATACTGACTTTTGTTGGAACACAATTTAAAGGTATTGGATTCAGATCACTACCATCTTAACCCACCACAGAGGTGATTCTTTTTGGGAAAGACGGCTCTACAAGCAGCTCTATGTGTCTTGACTGAGGTAAACTGATTGGATTTTAAATGCATCATTTTAACGTTATTTGTAATGTGTCCACTCATCAATAACCAACCATTTCACAGATCCTAATGAATAAGCCTGTTTGTTAAATCCCTTTATGATAAAAAGGGGAATTGATATGCTAATTTATTAATTTGTACTTTAATCCTGGAACTTCACTAGAGCAGTTTAGCATGATTTACAATTAAAAAAAATGTGAGTCTTTATCTCAAACTCTCTGTTATCATTAAAACAGGCAATATTAGCTCAAGCCTCCTCAAAAGCCTTTTTTCTTCTGAATGGCGGATCATGTTCAGGCTGCCAACACCTCACGATGTGAAGGTTCTGATAGCAAATGCAAATACTTAGTAACTTGTAGAGTATATTCATGATTAGTAAT